GGGTTCCTGGGAGTCTGGGGACCATAGTAATGGAGGGGAAGGGGGCACAGCAAAGGGTTAATATTCTGAGAACTGTCCATGTTATCGGTTCCTGAAAGGGAAATGAAAGCTCGGAGGAAAAGGGGAACTCCGGGCCTTGTACGGTGTGCGCACGAGACCCACTCAGTGTGAATGATGTCATCGGTGGAAGGCGTGTTTTGCGGTCTGTGACATCATTATATCCGATCGTTATTTATAGATATCTGTTTATTATATTGATCTTCTCCCCTCACATTGGCTTTGTTAATGTTTGCAGAGTCTTTGTTTTCTTGGAGTTACACCGGACCCGTCACTCACTTCAATGTCTCCATGAATAACTTCCTCACGTGTCACAATGTACAGCAACGGGATCAATGTCCAGAAACCGTCCCAGCGGTGTCACACCTGGTGCAGGTAGACGCGCCGTCCCTCATCCTAGCGGTGTCACACCTGGTGCAGGTAGATGCGCCGTGCCTCATCCTAGCGGTGTCACACCTGGTGCAGGTAGATGCACCGTCCCTCATCCTAGCGCTGTCACACCTGGTGCAGGTAGATGCACCGTCCCTCATCCTAGCGGTGGCACACCTGGTGCAGGTAGATGCACTGTCCCTCATCCTAGCGCTGTCACACTTGGTGCAGGTAGATGCGCTGTCCTTAATCCTAGCAGTGTCACACCTGGTGCAGGTAGATGCGCCGTCCCTCATCCTAGCGGTGGCACACCTTGTGCAGGTAGATGCGCCGTCCCTCATCCTAGCGGTGTCACACCTGGTGCAGGTAGATGCGCCGTCCCTCATCCTAGCGGTGGCACACCTTGTGCAGGTAGATGCGCCGTCCCTCATCCTAGCGGTGTCACACCTGGTGCAGGTAGATGCACTGTCCCTCATCCTAGCGGTGTCACACTTGGTGCAGGTAGAAGCGCTGTCCCTTATCCTAGCGGTGTCACACCTGGTGCAGGTAGAAGCACCGTCCCTCATCCTAGCGGTGTCACACCTGGTGCAGGTAGATGCGCCGTCCCTCATCCTAGCGGTGTCACACCTGGTGCAGGTAGATGCGCCGTCCCTCATCCTAGCGGTGTCACACCTGGTGCAGGTAGATGCGCTGTCCCTCACCCTAACGGTGTCACACCTGGTGCAGGTAGATGCACCGTCCCTCATCCTAGCGGTGTCACACCTGGTGCAGGTAGATGCACCGTCCCTCATCCTAGCGGTGTCACACCTGGTGCAGGTAGATGCGCCGTCCCTCATCCTAGCGGTGTCACACCTGGTGCAGGTAGATGCACCGTCCCTCATCCTAGCGGTGGCACACCTGGTGCAGGTAGATGCGCCGTCCCTCATCCTAGCGGTGTCACACCTGGTGCAGGTAGATGCACTGTCCCTCATCCTAGCGCTGTCACACTTGGTGCAGGTAGATGCGCTGTCCTTAATCCTAGCAGTGTCACACCTGGTGCAGGTAGATGCGCCGTCCCTCATCCTAGCGGTGTCACACCTGGTGCAGGTAGATGCGCTGTCCCTCATCCTAGCGGTGTCACACCTGGTGCAGGCAGATGCACTGTCCCTCATCCTAGCAGTGTCACACCTGGTGCAGGTAGATGCGCTGTCCTTCATCCTAGCAGTGTCACACCTGGTGCAGGTAGATGCGTCGTCCCTCATCCTAGCGGTGTCACACCTGGTGCAGATAGATGCGCTGTGCCTCATCCTAGCGGTGTCACACCTGGTGCAGGTAGATGCGCTGTGCCTCATCCTAGCGGTGTCACACCTGGTGCAGGTAGATGCGTCGTCCCTCATCCTAGCGGTGTCACACCTGGTGCAGGTAGATGCGTCGTCCCTCATCCTAGCGGCGTCACACCTGGTGCAGATAGATGCGCTGCCACCTGAGACATGCAGATGGGGGTCATAAACCTGCCACAGCGGGGAGACCACCAGACACTGAAGTAAATAGTTCAATCTGAACCGCCGCCCCCCACACTCCCCAATCCATCTGACTTGTCCTGCTAATCCTGATCCCCCCCACACTGCAGGTAACCCCCAGGAACGCGGCGCGCTGCCGGGCTGGCGCTCGGCTCTCGACGGGATCGGCGGCGTCAGTTCCAGGTAATAACTCACGCGGCGTTTCTGTGTCATTACCGAACAGCTGCTTATTATAAATTGCCCACTAAATTATTTGGATGTGACAACGCTCCGGCGTCCGCTCCACGGCTCGCGGATAATGAATTGCGGAGCCGCGTTCGGGGAATACGGATTGTTTTATTTTCCCCCCACAATTTGATTAAGGGATCGTCAATCACCGCGCTCAATAAATCACCCGAAATGTGCAACACGGCGAGTCGCCGGAGCTCCGAGAGCGGCAATATGGAAGACGCACAAAAAGCTGCACGCGGCTTTCCCCCGCTGTTCCTGCGCTCGGCGACTGCGGGAAATTTACAATTCCATTTGTAGCTTTCTGTGTGAAATGAACGGAACTGATACACGTTGTCACCGGGAAGAGGCACGAACAAAACACATACAATGTATATACAGTACAATAGAACCTTCCTCAGGTGTTTGTTACTGGCTGTGTCCTCACTTCCTGTCTCGGTGGACCCAGGACAAGAGATAGGTAACACCCACTTGTGATGCTGAGCCTCCATGATTGACAAAACTGAAATCCAATAAATCATAGGGATGGGGCGAGGGACAGTCAGGTTGGGGAGGAAAGTGCTAGATGATGCTGGATGTCCTCCAGCCAGGAAATGAGGCGGGCTCTCTAACTTGCTTCAGCTTCTAATGCACATTGTGAGAAGGGCTGAGTGATAAGCTCATCTGTCACTCTGCTCTCTACTCCTATCAGCATGCTTACTGTACCACAGTACACCTGACTGGCTCCTTTTGCTGCTTCTCCTTCCCAGTCTGAGCTCTGCTGGGACTTGTATTGTCACACAGCCCCATCGGCCCAGCCAGCTGTATGGAATGAAGTGTACCTGTATCTGCTCTATGATCCATCCCCAGCGCACACTCACATGCTTCTACCAGGAAACCAGCCGTCCTCTGAGCCGTCACTACACAGAAAACACCGGGCTGTCATTCATGTCTCCAGTTTGCGGCCATTTTGCCGGAGACCACGAGACTCCCCATGGTTACATTGTATAGACGCTGGGTGAGGCAGTGGGCGGAGCTGCTTTTGGGCGGGTCCTAATGTCACATTCTCCTATGCTCTCCTTGGGTATGACTGGTGACGTCATGCAGGGGGTGGGAGGAGTGAAAGCGGATGTTTTGAGCTCGTGACTTCCGTCTCCCTTCACGGCAGATCAGCTGGAAGTCCCGGGGAAGAAAGAGCCGGGGAGAGCGGAGAAGTCCCGGGAAGGGGATGGAGGAGCGGCGGCCTCTATTGGCCAGGTCCCCCCGGGTGTACGGGCGGCGCTGGCTGGTGCTGGTCCTGTTCTCGGCTCTGGGATTCTTTCAGGGGTTGGTGTGGAACACTTGGGGGCCCATCCAGGGCTCGGCCCGGGTCGCCTATGGCTTCTCCAGCCTGGACATCGCGCTACTCGTCCTGTGGGGGCCCATTGGGTTCCTGCCCTGTTTCTTCTTCATGTGGCTGATGGACAAGAAGGGTGAGTGACCCCCATTGTACCCCAATATTATCCCCTCAGTGTACCCTGGTATACTTCCCAGTGTACCCTGGTATACTTCCCACTGTACCCCAATATTACCCCCTCGGGGTACAGTGGGAGGTATACCAGGGTACCCCAATACTACCTCACTGTACTCCATTATACCCCCAACTATATCCTTGCATATCCCCATTGTACCCCGATATTACCCCCTCAGTGTACCCTGGTATACTTCCCACTGTACCCCGATATTACCCCCTCAGTGTACCCTGATATACTTCCCACTGTACCCCATTGTACCCCACTATTACACCCCTCACTGTATCCTAGTATACCCCCATTATACCCTCGCTGTACCCCTATTGCACCCCATTATTACTACCTTACTGTATCCCAGTATACCCAGTCATTGTATATCCCATTAAACCCCCAACTGTACCCCCAGTAT